GGTTATATACACGGTTTCAATTTTTAATTTAATGTAAATTTTCTATGCAACTACGTCAATTAAGCCTCAATAAGGCCACTGGCTAACAGTCATTTTCTTGAATTAAATTTAACGAAAACAAGAACTGAAAGATGTTGTTTAGATCGTAATCTGATTAGTAGTGAATTGGTTGATTATGTTAATGACTTTGTAGTTTGTATGGTCTATAGTTTTGGTACTCATTTGGACCTATTATTTATACTATAGTAGTTTAATATGGTCTATAGTTTTGGTACTTGTTTGGACCTATTATTTATACTATAGTAGTTTAATATGGTCTATAGTTTTGGTACTTGTTTGGACCTATTATTTATTAATAATACATTTAAATAGCGCATCTTTAACTAAATTGATAATATGAGAGCTTAACAATAACAAAGTAAAAAGAGTTTTCAAATGCGATTTCAAATGTAATAAGGGCTTGTGATCTTGGACAAAAATAAAGTAATTTTTTTAAGAACAGTGGTATAGTCCATCATAGGAGGAAATTCTGGCGGACTCAAAATAGTAAATTATCTGTAGAAGACCTTAATATTGCTCATCAGACCATGGATTTGTATTAATTTGGACCAATAATAAGTTGATTAGTGATTTAGCCCCACCCCTCCCTCAATTTTTGGTTATAAAGTTATCCTATATTAATCCACACCCCCTCCTTCAATTTCTGGTTATAAAGTTATCCTATATTAATCCACACGGGATGTTAGTCTACGTAATCACTAGAAGACCGTGTCTTGCTCATTAGAGCATATTTTTGTATTAATTCACACGACCCCTTCTATAGAACTGCGAAGTTCTACTACATTAAAGGGTGGGTTCGATGGCCGAATGAATAGCAGGTGCGCGCTGTATCATTGATTCAGCTGGCGTGGTTTTGATTCCCTAGCTGGTTGTACGTGACAAGGAGTAGGGTCGCCTGTTCAACCTCTTGGGTTTTCTCTGGGTCCTCCCACTGCTAAAGACCCCTATGCGCAAGTGAATTATTGAAATAAAATTGAACCATGTGTTAGTACCGAAATGACCTAGTTTGTGTCGAGTGAATGTTAAATCCTATTATTCTCTATACATTAATAGACTATATGGCTACTGGGTAATACCAGATGTTGTCTATATATAACTGGACCATGATGATGGGATGACTGGCTGGCATCAGTCTGTATTTACTATCTAAACTTCTACATACATGTAACTTGACACTTGAAACTAATCAGTACTTGGCACACTCCATCTACAAGTTGGAGGCTTTCTATCTTCCCACACAACTTCTTGACTTATGTTTAGGATTCTATCATGTGAAATGTTTATTCATTTTCTTCTCTCGGAATATCAAATCATAAATTATAAGGTAGGCCTACTAAATTATTAATTTAAGGTACTGGTAGTTTTGTTTTATTTTAACTGTGTTGTATATGTAAAGAACATAGAAATACAGCTATAAGCATGGACCTTATTATAATAATACATGTATTAAGTTATTGTATACATCTGACAAGGTTTCTACTTCACCTGGAATATCAAATCATAAATTATAAAGGTACTGACTGTTGCCTTATTTTAAGTGTTGTATATATGTAAGGTTGGCTTTGTGCAGAGATCTAGAAATTAGTATAAGTTATTATACTCATCTTACAACTTCTACTACAAGTCTTGTGTTAAGATGTGCTATGTTTGTGTTTATATATAAGTTTTGTGGGACAATGTGGCTGAACAGTATAACATGTGTGCATTATGCATAAGGTCTGTCATTGAGTCAAGTGGAGTGGTTTTGATTCCCCGCTTGTATGTGACAAAGAGTAGGGTCGCCTGTACAATTGGGTTTTCTCCCTGTCCTCCATGGCCACTGGATTCATTCAATTGATTTGATTTTATTTCGTGAAATGGCATTTTTTAGTTTGTGTCTTGTCAGCAGATTTGTCTTATTGGTTTCGTTTGTGTGTAGTGTGGTCCTCCTGCACTAATAACACCATTACACATTTGGCATCCATTTTAACATTGAACAATTAACTCCATCTTCATTAGCCCAGTCGATGCAGAACAGCAGGATGTAAAACCCTATTTGATTTCTAAACGTCAAACATACCTGATTATATAGTAGTCTTTTATCAATGTTTTTAATATGGAATCATGAATTATCAGGAAGGGTATCTGAAGATTTGGTGCTGGTGTTTATTGTGAATATTGAATTAGAAATTATGAGGTAGGCTATTTGAAGATTTGGAATCATGAATGATTAAGAAGGTTACTTATTGATTTGAAATCATGAATTATAAGGTAGATATGCTACCTTTAGTTTTGAGGTGTATATTTTTCTCAGTAATATGATATTTGATTTTACCATGTTGTGATATGTTTGGCACACTACAGTTGATATTATACCAACAAGTTTTCATACAACATATGGTGGCAGTTCTGCTTAATTAATTATTAAATATCAGTAGGTTATGAATATGATTTTTTGCCTTTCACCAATTTGCTGTACAGTTTCTCATCTTCACACCTTGGGCAAAATTCTGAACCTAATCCTTTTTATATGCCCACCTTGAAATGTGGTCGTATACTGTCATCACCCCCGTCGGTCCGTCTGTCTGACATCCACAATTTCTTGTGGACACTCTAAGAGGCTAAAGTTAATATCTGATTGCTAAATTAATACACAGTGTTTAAGGATATGAGACAAAGAAACTTATTGATTTCAGATAATTACTGCCACAGTTATGGCCCTTGATTATTTGAGAATTCTAGTGGACATGCTAGAGGCTAAAATTAATATAAATTTATACACAGTGTTATCTATTGATTTCTGATAATTACTTCATGGGTTGTTACTCGTTAACAGATTTTAGTGTGTTGTAAATGTTTTCATTACTGACAATAGATAAAAATATGTGACAACCCTTGTTGACAGCTTAGACATTTTAGTTGCTGTGGGCATATGATTCATTGCCTGGCAACCTGTCTTTATCTGTGCCATATGAACAACTTCTTGTACTTATATCATATGTCTTGTTGGCCAGAATTCCATAATTTATCTGTATTTATATCTACCCAGTTCTTCTATCCAGAGTGAATATTTATTGTAGGCTATCTGTTTTGTATCTCCAAGTTTTTATAATTAAATAATTCTGTTGGCTATAAAATGAGATTTGGTGGTAATTGGTTTACTGATATATGAAACATATTGCTAACATGTTCTCGTATATGTTTTACTATTATAATTAGTGCTTGCATTTATGGAGTGTAAATTATGGTCTGTTCTGTCATCTTGTATTCTGGAGTGATTGAACATATGGTTGTAATTTACTATATTTATCTGTCTGTTAATATATCAAGGGTTGTAGAATTATAGTTGAATAAAGATTGACTACATGTTAGTCCTGAAATGATCTACCGGTAGATAATGGATGTTAAACCCCATTCCTCTCTTGCACAAGATTTAAAACCCTTTCCACTAGTATTATACAGGCTATACTATATACTGGAAAACAATGGGAAAACAACCGGAAAACACTGGAAAACACCATGTTATACTGAATACCGGAAAACACCGGAAAAACACTAAATACCGGAAAACACACTAAATACCGGAAAACAGGCTCCCGGTTACCTATTTAGGGTGCCAGTCTCCGGGTTACCTATTTAGGGTAGTTTCTGGTATTTATTGTGCTTTCCGGTATTTAGTGTTTTTCCGGTGTTTTCCGGTATTCAGTATAAAATGGTGTTTTCCGGTGTTTTCCGGTATATAGTATTGCCGGTATTATACACTATTCTGTGGGGTTTGGTGGACGAATGGTTAGCACATTGCATCATAAGGTCTGTCATTAAGTCAACTGGTATGGCTTTGATTCCCAGTTTGTACCCACCTATTCAACTTTGTGGGGTTTTTCCCAGTTTCCTCCCACTGCTAAAGACCCCTACGTGCAAGCAAATTATTGGAATAAAATTGAACCTTTTGTTAGTCCAGAAATTACCTAGTTTGTGTCTAGTGGGACAATAAACTCTCTCTCTCTCTCTCTCTCTCTCTCTGACAGTGAGTAAGAGCTGGTGAATAGGTTATATATATGTGATGTTGGGTGTAGAATCTATTTTAGTGGTAATAAAGATGGTATATCTCGAGTGCTTCTATTAGTCTGGAATGTCTGGTTCTATATTTACACCATAGTGGTTGGTACATGGATACAATCAGAACAGCACTGGTGTGGTGCACTGGGCAGAGAATGTTTATCAGACATTAGGTTCAATGTTTACTATTCGATACTTTATGGTCATCCTTATCTGTGATGTATTCCATACATTGCGGCGGTCAGTGGTCACTCTGGGGGCATTATCTGGTCAATGTCCGTCACACTCACACAAATACAATTTGTATGTTAGTATGGTAGATAGATATATACATTTGGCACAGACATATATACCACATAATAAAAATAATTTAATTATAAAATAATCCGGCCAAGTATCCAGTACTTTGCAACCACCATGAGTTATGTGGCCTGTACCTTATGAGGTATCTTGCATCCATCTAGTAGCCACCATGAGTTCTGTTATATCTAGTAGCCACCATGAGTTCTGTTATATCTAGTAGCCACCATGAGTTCTGTTATATCTAGTAGCCACCATGAATTATGTTATATCTAGTAGCCACCATGAGTTATGTTGTATTCAGTACCATGTAGCCACCATGAGTTATGTTCTATCTAGAAGCTACCATGAGCTACATTGTATTCAGTACCATGTAACCACCATGAGTTATGTTGTGTCTAGAAGCCAACATGAGTTATGTTGTATTGAGTACCATGTAGCCATCATGAGTTATGTTGTATCTAGTAGCTACCATGAGTTATGTTTTATTCAGTAAACATTTCTGTGTTTTATTCGGGCTGATATTGTGATGACTGATTTATTTGTCTTTATTAAATGTGCTTTACATGTCAGCATGATGGAGATCTTCTTTTAAAAACTTCTTAGCGACAAATTGTTGTAACAAAATAACCAAATATTAAAATATTTAAAATATTTTCTTCTTCAGATGTAGGAGAATCAGCTGAGTTTGATCGTGAAACAACACCAACACCACAGGAGGAAGAACAAGACCAGTCTGTAAAGGAAACTACACCGGTTCCTGACACAGACGAAGAAGCCAAACGTAAAGCAGAAGAAGAAGCCAATCTTAAGGCAGAAGAAGAAGCCAATCGTAAGGCAGAAGAAGAAGCCAAGCTTAAAGCAGAAGAAGAAGCCAAACGTAAGGCAGAAGAAGAAGCCAAGCTTAAAGCAGAAGAAGAAGCCAAACGTAAGGCAGAAGAAGAAGCCAAGCTTAAGGCAGAAGAAGAAGCCAATCTTAAGGCAGAAGAAGAAGCCAATCGTAAGGCAGAAGAAGAAGCCAAGCTTAAAGCAGAAGAAGAAGCCAAACGTAAGGCAGAAGAAGAAGCCAAGCTTAAGGCAGAAGAAGAAGCCAAACTTAAGGCAGAAGAAGAAGTCAAGCGTAAAGCAGAAGAAGAAGCCAAACTTAAGGCAGAAGAAGAAGCCAAGCGTAAAGCAGAAGAAGAAGCCAAACGTAAGGCAGAAGAAGAAGCCAAGCTTAAGGCAGAAGAAGAAGCCAAGCTTAAGGCAGAAGAAGAAGCCAAGTGTAAAGCAGAAGAAGAAGCCAAGCTTAAGGCAGAAGAAGAAGCCAAGCGTAAAGCAGAAGAAGAAGCCAAACTTAAGGCAAAAGAAGAAGCCAAGCGTAAAGCAGAAGAAGAAGCTAAGCTAAAAGCAGAAGAAGAAGCCAAACGTAAAGCAGAAGAAGAAGCCAAGCTTAAGGCAGAAGAAGAAGCCAAGCTTAAGGCAGAAGAAGAAGCCAAACGTAAACTAGAAGAAGAAGCTAAGCTTAAAGCAGAAGAAGAAGCTAAACGTAAGGCAGAAGAAGAAGCCAAACGTAAGGCAGAAGAAGCTAAGCAAAAAGCAGAAGAAGAAGCTAAGCAAAAAGCAGAAAAGGAAGCAAAACGTAAGGCAGAAGAAGAAGCCAAACTTAAGGCAGAAGAAGAAGCCAAGCTTAAGGCAAAAGAAGAAGCCAAGCTTAAGGCAGAAGAAGAAGCTAAACGTAAAGCAGAAGAAGAAGAAGCCAAGCTTAAGGCAGAAGAAGAATCTAAACGTAGAGCAGAAGAAGAAGCCAAGCTTAAAGCAGAAGCAGAAGCTAAACATAGAGCAGAAGAAGAAGCTAAACTTAAGAAAGAAAAAGAAGCTAAACTTAAGGCAGAAGAAGAAGCGAATCTTAAGAAAGAAGAAGAAGCTAAACTTAAGGCAGAAGAAAAAGCAAAACTTAAGAAAGAAGAAGAAGCTAAACTTAAGGCAGAAGAAGAAGCTAAACTCAAAGCAGAAGAAGAGGCTAAACTAAAGGCTGAAAAGGCTCAACCCAAGAAAGAAGAAGACACTAAATTAGAGGAACCTAAACTTGAGGAAGGGGAAACCAAACCAGAAGTCAAGGAAGAAGAATACAAACCGACAGAAGAACCTAAATCAGATGAGCTCAAACTAAAGGAAGAACCTGAACTAAAGGAAGAACCTGAACTCAAAGAAGAACCTGAACCTAAGGCAGAAGAGCTTAAAGAACCAGTCCAAGGGGATATTTCATACATACCTGAAGAGAAACGAGAAAATACACCACCACTTGTCTTAGAAAAAATGAAGGACTGTGATATTGAAGAAGGTCGATTGGCCCGATTTGATTGCAGAGTGTGTGCTTATCCTACACCAGAAATAACATGGTACGTCCATTTTTATTATATTTATACATAATTGATTCTATTTTAGGTTTGGCATCGTGTGGGTAGTTTATCAACAAGTCTTTATGATCTACATGTTAGTGATTTTGAGATTTTTCATTTAAATGTGACTAATGCGTAGGAGTAGCCATAGCCTATCCGATTTCAGCATCCACAAAACAGTTTGTCACAGAGTTACGGCTCCTGTTGTCAAAAACCTTATAAATACTCAGAAGATCAAATTGTTGTAGATATTCTTTTCAAATTTGTACTTGATTTGTTTAGCTAGTCCCAAGGACGAATCATAAAGATGAACTTGGCCAAATCTGCCCACCAACTTCATGCATAGTTCAAAATTTCCCTCATAGCACACTGTATGGCGTATGCCCATCTTCATTAGCCAAGTCGGAGCAAAACAGTAGGACGTTAAACCCCATTTCATTTCATGCATATTTATTGCCCTTTACCCTGAAAACTTGACAGTCATCCATCAAATGATTGCTGGTGGGTGTATATGCCTTACTAGGCAACGCAATTTTTATCTAGTCATAATTTCTCTGTAAGGCAGAGTTCACCATAGACTCTAATCAAGCCCCTCATACAGAAGAAGAACCAATGCTGTACAAGTTTATGTTAAAAAGTGTCAATTTTTTCTCCTTCTTGGTGGGGGGTGGGAGGGGGTTGGATAGCAGAATGGTGCGGGGTGGGAGGGGGTTGGATAGCAGAATGATGTACTCTGTATCATAAGATCTGCCTCTCATTGAGCATGTCATTCAACACCCCAGTTTGTACGGGGCAAGGATTAGGGTCGCCTGTACAACCTTGTGCTTTTTTCCCGGGTCCTCCAGTTTCTTCCCACGGCCCAAGACCAGTATGCGCAAGTGAATTATTGAAATAAAATTTAACTATATGTTAGTCCCCAAATGACCTAGTTTGTGTCAAGTGGATGTTAAACTCTCTCTCTCTCTCTCTATCTCTCTTGGCAAGTAATCTGTCAGTTGCCATCTTGTATTAATGAGGATGGTCGATGGTCTGTACAATGTAACGTAAGAAATCCCTTGGTAGGTGGTATTCGATATAAGAGTAGACCGTAGAGCCACTGTCCAAGTAAAACTTCCCTGATAGCACACTGTGTTAATGACTGTGTTTATATTTATACAGGGAGAAAGATGGTAAACTGGTGGAGGAATCAAGTCATTATAAATTATTACAAGAGAAAGATGAGATCTATTCGTTGTTAATTAAAGATTGTACAATCAGTGATAGTGGTAGATATACATGTTGGGCCAGGAATGAATATGGTGAAGCATACACAGAATCCATCTTAAATGTCATAGGTAACTAAATATTTTATAAGCCCACATTTTCATGTGGAAGTATTATGTTGTCGCCCCTAACCGTCTGTCCGTTCACAATTGTTTGTGGACACTCTACAATATCTATTCTAAATGTTATAGGTAGTTAATCTTTTTTAGAGGGGTTGTGTCATTGCCATTTTGAATCATATGTGGTTAGGGTGAAGCATTTACACAATCTATTCTAAATGTTATAGGTAGTTAACTTTTATTAGAGGGGTTGTGTGTCATTGGCATTTTGAATCATATGTGGTTAGGGTAAAGCATTTACACAATCTATTATAAATGTCATAGACAGCTAAATATTTTTTTGAGGGATTATATTATCGGTAAATGGGATCTGTGGTGGTCAGGGTGGAATTGACAGGCATCCAGAACCAGATCTAAATGTTGTAGGCAGCTAAATATTTTTTGAGGGATTATATTATCGGTAAATGGGATCTGTGGTGGTCAGGGTGAAATTGACAGGCATCCAGAACCAGATCTAAATGTTTAGGCAGCTAACTTTTTGAGGCGTTGGGATTCGGGAGAATTGCATTTACGTTAGGATAAAATGGACAGGTGACAGGAATAACATTTTGACAACTCTGATTCTCAACATTGATGTTACTTATCCCTTTAGGACTTTCCAGCCCAAAACAACTGCTCTCTTTATCTGGCCTTAATCCACTTGGGTCAGATGAATAGCTGTAAAAACCATAAAAGAACAGTACACTAGCTCTGTGCCTGCGCTAGAGGTTAGCAGTAGTTTAGGCAGCAGGACCTGGCAAGAGTAATTTCAGATGAGAATGAAATTCGAAGGTACTTTCCCACCCAAAAACAAACGTCCTTAATCCATCTGGGTCACATGAATAGCTGTCAACCATTGAAGGACTGCATTCTAGCTCTGTCTATAGGCTAGAGGTAGCAGTAGTTTCTGCAGGAGGTGTCTGGAAAGAGTCATTCAGATGAGAAACCATCAAAGGATGGTACGCTAGCTCTGTGACTCAGGCTAGAGGAAGAAGTAGTTTCGGCACAAGAGCCTGGCAAGAGTCTAGTCATTCAGATAGCAACGAAAAATCAAGGTACTGTGTATATACCATTAACAGGATGTTACAGATCCCCTTGACAGTTGAAAATCAGGAGTATGTAAATCATAGGACAAATTAAGTTTACTTTTTATCTTCTCTACAGAAATTGTATTTGTTGATACAAGAAATTTATATTTTCAGCTTTAGATAATTTATTAGAAGAAGGAGAAGTGAAGCCATCTTTTACTACCAGATTTTACGATGTGGAGGTTACGGAAGGGGTTCCTGCGGAGTTTGTCTGTCAGGTGAGTTGACTCTTTGGTACCAATGTTCTCTCTCTCTCCTCCCTCAGGATAGACCCCTACGCATGTGATAAGATAATAAAAATAAGATAACATTTGGAAGCGGTTTGTGAATCAGCGACTTAATCACTGAGCTATCATATCTACTACATTTCCATGAGAAAAGGCAATTAAGATGAACATAAAAATCTTCAGAAAAATGTAATCAAATTTGTCTTTTGATTTTAGGTGAAAGGTGACCCATCACCAGGGGTAAAATGGTTATTGAACGGCGAGGAACTACACCAAGCAGACGACATTTTGATTCGACAAGAGGACGATGGACATCAACTCCTCGCTTTCCGCAATGTTCGACTGGACCAAGCGGGTGAAATAACATGTAGATTGAAGAATGATCTAGGGGAGGCAACTTGTACCGCTCAGTTGATCGTGAAGGAAGATCCTCGACGACATGGACCAGAGTTGAAGCCGCCGAAGTTCATCAAGAAGCCCGTAGATTGTGAAGTTTCGACAGGCGAAGATATCAAGATAGAATGCACAGTAGCTGGCGAACCTGAACCAGAGGTCACATGGTATTTTGAAGATCGGGAACTGTTTGTAAGTTTGTTGTTAATTAAAACCAGGTTTGTCCTTCTGCACACAGAGAGAACTGTCTATGGCCGCCATATCCAACAATCTGTTATACACAAAAAGACTAATTAAACCTTTTCAATTTTATTAAACATACATTATGCAAGAGCTAAATCTGTCTATTGCAGGTCTTTCTTTAGGTCTGAAATGTTATCTAAATTATTAACTAAGTGTGTTCGCCAGATTAGTAAACTTGAAGATAAATATATAAGAGTGTGTAATAACTTAATCTTTCTCATGAGTTGTAGAGACAGTGAAATTGTATTTCTATTACTGTTATTCTTAATCCATGCAGATGGTTTCTTATTAATTTCATATTTTGTCCACAAGTTTACTAAATTGTCATTTGTGCTTGATAACGATAAGAGGATACTTGTCGAAACGTCGTGCTTTTAGAATAAACTAGTGATTGTATCCCATAAAAAACTGTGTTATGTTAATATTAATTAGACATTAATTAACTTATCCAGACCATAATCAACTCTAGATGGCATCGCTAGCCTGCGATCTTTAGTGTATTATGAGCCGATTTACTGCATAACTTTCCTTCACGATTTAACGATTAAATCGATAATTGAGACTATGCTGTTTATCGTACTGACTTTAGTAATAATGATCGAGGCTAGGCGGACATTTCAATCGCTTAGTTCTCGGTTCATAGTGGAACAATTTGAATGAAATTTTCAGAAAATTGCCTTGACATTATCTAGTTTTTAACTATTATAGTTAGAACTGTCAGCTCGTTATCGAATCCCCCGTAATGTATCTTTAAATGAAAGCAGAATATATACTTTTAAAAAATTCTTGGAATATACTTAGTGATTTTGCCTAAAATTGTCGATTTAGGACTTACAATGTTGGTCAACTCACTTAGTGCCTGTTCAAAAGCAGAGCTAATTGTAGACAGACAGTGCAGGTTTAGTATGCCACGTTTATCTGACAATATCTCAATGTTCGTATTATAATCTATTCTCACATGGATTATTTTAAATTTTATCTGGCATTGATTTATCTCTCGTTAGTGTTTTTATTAATATTATTAATTCATGACCAGTGAGATATTAAAAATATCGTGTACCAGTTTTATCAGGTACAAAATCAAATGAAATGGGGTTTTGCGTTGTACTGTTGTGCTCTGAGGGGAGCCACGGTGGCTAAGTGGGTAAGACGCTGGCTCGCTAGCCTGGAGGCCGCGTGTTCGATCCCTGCATTGGCCGAGAAAGTACATCAGGATTTTCCGGCGTGGTTTCCCCCTTGTCAGTAGTGGAGGATGGAGACAGCTGTCTAGTCGTTTGGATGGGATGAAAAAACAAGGTCCTGTGTATACATTGGTGTGTATGTAAAACATTCCTTGGCAGTTGGAATGCGATGTAAGAGTAGGCCATAGTGCCACTGCTCGGGCAAAAAAATTTCCCTCATAGCACACTGCATGGAAAATGTCCGTCTTCATTAACAGAACAGTAGGACGTTAAACCCCATTTCATTTCATTTCATTGTTCTGCTTTGACTATGCTAATGAAGACGAGCAATATGTACTAAGACCTACTCTTGTATCAATTCCAACTGTCGAGGGTTCTTCTACACCAATGTGTACACGGGACCTCAACCTTTTTGATGTCAGGCCCTCCTTTCTCACCACTGACGAATGGGAACCACACCAGAAAATCGCAGTGAACTTTCTTGGCCAAAACCAGGATTGAACCCGATACCTCCAGGATAGCAAGCCAGGATCTTACTCCCTTAGCCACCGTGGCTCCCTGATAACACATATCAGTTCACTTGACTAATAATGTCTGATATTCTTCGGTTTTGTTTTTGTATTTTTTCTGCCTGGTTTAAAAAAAAATGATTGTTTTTCAGGAGTCTAATCGTCGTATTCTACGTAAAGTTGGGAATAACCATTTGTTAAAAATACGTAATATGGCCATTATGAATGCTGGGGTTTATACGATACGAGCTGTAAATCCTGCCGGAGAAGCCAGTTGTACGTTCAAAATAGATGTCAATGAAATTGAGGAGATGGAAGATCGACCAAGGTTAGTTAAC